ATGGATTAACGACCGGTTTGCAATTGTACATCTCTATCAAGTACGGTTAGATGATAAAGCAGAATAAAAGTAATTTTACTAATCATATGTTGCAGAACGAACATGCATCTTCCGGTGACTAAGCGATTAGCATTATTAGGTTCCAGTAAGTTGTATGTTTTCGCTTATGTCTCTGTATCATCGCCGTTTACTGTTAATGCTTTATTTGCTGTGGTTTATTTTTGCTTGTACTCTATATGGCTGCAGTGCTAGAGAACCAGAATTAAGAATTTTATTTTGATAGGGAATTTTTGCCTCAGTTATTAGTAGCTCTATATTTTGCGGCGTACTTATTCGTGACTTGGTTTTTCGTAATTGTTCATGTGCGCAACAGAATGGATGGCAAACTGGACTCAGAATCCAATAAAGTGCACAGGATAAGCATCTGAAAGAAGTTGCTTAATACAGGTAATAGTTGTTATGACTAGTTTGAAGAAGCAAGAAATTGAGAAGTCATGATGACTTGAGCGGTGGCGTAATACTGATTACCAAATTCTATATGTCAGGGAAACAATTGAGGTTAAAAAGGTTGCCCGGGATCAGGTGATGATAAATCTGTACTGAGTTTCCACGCAGCTGTTGAACAAGTTGTGAAATCCTCTGGACAGGAAAAATTAGGAGCGAAATATCAAACATTCTCATTTTAGCATCTAGAAAAAAAGATAATGAAATAACAATAAGAAAGTCTTCAAGCGGGTTTAACGCGAAATCTTAAAAGACAGAAGCAGTCTTCATCAGCTGAGGAACTCCACAAGGAATAAGCGCGCAAATATACTGGATAGCTCTCTAGCATCAAAGTAATGCGTCTGTTGGCCAGTGGAGTCATTTAATCAGTCAACAGCGCCGTGGCGTTTTACACCTTAGTTCATCGTTGCATTTCTCATGATCAACATGGTTAGTGACAACTAAGGTATTGTTCTACCAATTAAACGATGCGGCGTGCATCTTGCAGTACGTGAATAAAGTATAATGGAGCGATGGACGGCTTCAACGGTTTGCTAAGTTTAGACGTCATAAGGCTGACTTTATGAAAGATTTCTGCATGGTTAATGCACGTATTAAAAGACATTTTGGTGTTATTTTTATTTACGGTTTACACCTTGCGCTGAGTTTTTTGTCATCTAGCAAGTGGGTCATTGGGAATTGCGGTCATAAGGCGTATGCTTTCAGAATACTCCAAAACACCTTGTTTTCTGTATTTGTTCCCATGTCAGTGAATTCGCTACCCATTTTTGACATTTGTTTGCATTAAATCACATTTGCATTAAATCACATCTTGCTAATAGAATTAGCAGTTTAGAAGAAAACGTTTTTTCTGATGAACCAAGGTCTCGTAGGCAGAAACTGTAAGCGTAATTACGCGTCGCTCATCAGTTAATTTATCCGTGACAAAACGCTCCATTGTGCTAAATCCGTTTTGTTGGATGCAGCTCCTAGGAGACATAGATTATACTGCACACGGGTTGACACTATCTAACCACCACTATCCATAAAAAAATCGATACAGAAGAGCATCGTTGCTTTTCCACTACGACAGCAAATAGTATGAATGACGGAAAAAAATTTATATCATGTTATGCGGCTTGAACCACGCGCCTATAAAGTGCAAAGCAAGCCATTATTATATCACGTTACTGTCCCCTTCAGGATCTTCCTGCAAAGGAAATCGGTATGAATGATGTAAAGATTGCGGTAGTCGGTTGTGTATGGATACTATTTTTCTCAATATGAAGCAAGCAAAGAAATTTGGGCAGAAAGAAAAAGTATTTTGTAATGCGTTTCGAATTACGGAGTATTTTTCTGAAGGCGAATGGTCATTGTTTTTAAAGTGTAAGATCTTCCACCGATTACACGTTGCTGGCATTCAGTTACGGATGGGGGTTCTCTAACTGAAGATAGATTTCTTCCACAAAATGGTAGGCTATTTGGGTTGTTAATCAGTTGTTCTGTCAGTTTCGATGACCGTTTACCCTCTCGAATCGCTGACGGAGACACGTGAGACAGCGTCAACAACGTCCCTGATCCTGTGCCAGAATTTCTGCTTCAGCAGAAGACTACTCGAGTCTGGAGCACTGTCTTTC